CATCATATATATATACGGAAATAAATAATTAATCTTTGCATCTGTGTAAACAAAAAATCTATCTAAAAGAAAGTTTTGTTTTGTTCTTGTTCCTGCTAAACTTCAACACACTTATGCTTTTCTATCATCTATAGAAAAAATGTCAGGATATAAGTTGATTTCTCCTTTCAAGGATGTCTGGTATGTTGTACTTAACAAGGAAAAGACATGTCAGGGTGGCATCATAGACTTCAACTTGAACTTCAGTCAGGTCGACGCGGACTATGAGAGTCCCCTAATGGAGGTGGTCAGTTGTCGAGAGAAAGAAGGGCTACCGTTGCTGTTAAACATAAACACTAAAGCAGATTCCTCGCTGAAGAGGAAAAAAAATGATAATGTAGCAAAATCTAATGGAAGGGACTACTCGTCTTCCATCCATGATAACTGCACCAACATGACATCTAGTCAGTTCTGATGATGAGAGACTGCGATATGCACCGTTATAAAGAACTCAAAGAAGAAATGTCAATTGCTAAAAAATACAAAGCTTTCCAACGTGAAGAAAAAATATGTTTGAAAGAGGCATAAAACTTACCCCAATTCTTGAGGGTAAAGTCTATGATTCTTGCATGAGAGAGTCTTTCACCAGTTTGCCTGCCACAAAGGATGAGTTCGAGTCTGCTACAAATCTGACGTTACCAACAATTTTAGATGTGCTTTGGGTAGGTTATCCGACGGGCAACGCTGAGATCCCCAGATAGACACCAAACATAGGAGCATTTATGTAATGCCCAAAATGTAACATCCTCCACTTAGAGTGTTACAACACTCAGGAAGAGTACACATCTATCGACAATTGATTTCAAACTACTAGCCACTCAGTTGGAGAATCATACATCCCATTGGATACAGAGACAGTGTAGGCATGGATTCCTACAAATGTTAAAATGAGGGAGCGGCCCCAACATTTTAAAAGGTTACCATGGTAGAATTGCATAAGATGAGCAAAGTAAAGAAAAAATAATTTGAATTCTACAAAGAAATTCCTGGAAAATTTATGAATTTACTGGAAGGTTTGGAGATATACACAAGTACCTTTTCTGAAAAAGAAGAAAGAAGCATTCTTGACTATGTATTCGACCTGAGAGATAGAGGTTGAGCTGGTCTTCAGATGGAAAGAACTTATTCAGAACCAAGAAAGTAGATGCATGGAAAAGGCATGATAACCATCCAATGTGGTTGGTTCTACAATCTGGGGATCTTAAGACACGACGAGGTGGATCCATTGCCTCCCACAATAAAGTGGATGATAAAAAGGATGGTAAATGGAGCATTCTGCTAGTGGACTGCATTGTGAACAATTGTATCATCAACATTTATGAAGAGGGAGACTGTATTCCTCCACATAAAGGTCACCATGATTTTGTCAGACGTTTTTGCATGGTCTCATTCATGAGTAAAACTAACATTTTATTCGGGAAAGAAATCGATGTTGTCGGACCCGGTGAGTTTAGATGATTAGTTATAATTCAGCTTCCGGTGGGTTTGGTACTAATTTTGAAGTGAAATGGAGTCGATCTAACAAAGCACTACTTCCATGGAGTGCCAAAACACAGAGTTTCCATTACATTCAGAAGGATGAATGACAACAAGATGTCGTATGTATTTTGACTGGATCTAGAATTAGAGGAGCTACAACCATATGAGCTATAAGATTGTTCTACTTCTAAGTGCACGAAAGAGAAATTCTTGTCCTAAAGCTTGGCTTACTAGGTCAGCTTGATCTGGAGCTTATCCCACTGAGGACAGATAGACAGCTTTTTGTCACCTTTTGTACTACATCAGAGTAGCTTATATGATATGTACTCTGCATGTGATGTTTCAGATGTATTCAACATGATTGTCTCTTTTGATGCTTTCAGCATGAATATTGTCTGTAACACCTGTTTGAAGCATATCAATCAACATATTCTTCAGATTTCAACATATTAGACAAATTTCCCTTTTGTGTTATGGATAAAAAGCAGGAGAAGCATACGTTGGTTCTAAACTACGATAAACAAAGAAAAAAAAATTGATGATAATAAAATTTAAATAGAATATCATTTTCAAAAAAATAACCAATGTAAATTACATTATGAAAACATATTTTGATCATTAAATTTAATAAAGTCTCGAGTTTGAGGTTTCTTACTCTTCGCTTGCGTAGCATGACTATCCTCGTCTATACAAACTCCTCCACATTCCCATGGAGTCTTTTACTCCTCACAAATCTCTTCAATCTTTCTGCTCCACTTCTCTTCTACAATTTCTGAGTAGGCTTGGACGCTCTATTCCAATCTTTACTCATTTTGGGTAGGCTTTGACGTCTTATTCCTATCTTTACACTTTTGGGATAAGCTTAGTTGTTCTATTCCCATCTGTAAACTTTTTGAGTAGGATTGGACGTCGTATTCCCATCTTTACACTTTCAAAGTAGGCTTTGACTTCCTATTCCCATCTTTACACTTTCAAAATAGTCTTAGACGCCCTATTCCCATCCTTACTTTCAAAGTAGGCTCGATGTCCTA